GTTGACCGCAGCCTTCGCTCGGAGGATCGGAGAGCCGTGAGGCGCTGCAAGGATGGGTGGTGGTCGCGGGTTGCTGAGGAGATGGAGTCTGCCTCAGTGGCCCGCGATCACAAATCACTATTTAACTCCATCAAAAAAGTAACCTGCAGCGCCACACCTATTACCATCATTAGGGGAAAAACGGTGATCCAATCTTCGACCCCCAGGAACAGGTTTGCAGATTGCTGAGCATTTCTGTGAGGTCCTGGGGGAGGGGAAATCCCTCAGCCAGGAAAACATCATGGCCCAAAGTGGTGATAACCCTGCTGAGGCTGCGGTGCCTCAAATATTGGAAGAGGTCACCCCCTGTGAGTGGCTGGCTGAGGTGCCATCTGTTGAGGAAGTACTGAAGGCGATCCAGAGTCTAAGACCAGGAAAGGCACCGGGCAGAGATGATCTCCCAAGCGAAATGCTGAGGGAGGGTGGCGTTTGTGCACAGACTGCCCTACATGACATCATAACAACAGTCTGGACCACTGAACGGGCTCCGCAAGATTGGAAGGATGCCCTGGTGGTCCCCCTCTTTAAGAAGGGGGACCGCACAGACTGTAACAACTACAGGGGCATCTCACTCCTCAGTGTGCCAGGAAAGGTCCTGGCAAGGATTATTCAACATCGCCTTGCTAGGCACGCTGAGAAGAGGCTTGCGGAGCCCCAATGCGGTTTCAGGAAAGGGCGGTCCTGCACAGATGCCATATTTTCTGTGCGTCTGCCACAGCAGAGGTGTAGGGAATTTCAACAAGACCTACATCTCTGCTTCCTCCTCCTCCTCCTGCCCCCCCTTCCCCCCTCCTCTTCCCCCCCCCCCTCCTCCTCCCCTCCTTCCCCCCCCCCCGCCCTCTGCAGCCAAGCCGCACTGGGCGGCTGCGCTGCCAGCGAGCTGCAGCGTCGCCCCGGGGGGCAGCGCCGAGCTCACGTGCAGAGCCAGCGGAGTCCCCGCACCGACCATCCGCTGGCTCCTCAACGGCGTGCCCATCCACGGTGAGACGCGGGGGGGGGGAGCGAATGGGGGGGGGGCGGTCAGCCTCGCTCGCTCGCGGTCGATCGCACGCTCACTCAACCGCTCGTCCACCCACTTGCACGTGCACACGCTCGTCCACTTGCTCACGCTCGCGGTCCATCGTCAAGCGATCACTCGGTCGACCGATCGCGGCAAATCGCACGCTCGGTCAGCCAATCGCCCGCTCACCCGCACGCTCACTCGTCCACAATGTGCACCCACTCACCCAGCCGGTCACACGCTCACCCAGCCGGTCACACGCTCACCCAGCCGGTCACACGCTCACCCAGCCGGTCACACACTCACCCAGCCGGTCACACACTCACCCAGCCGGTCACACGCTCACCCAGCCAAATCACAGGACGTACCGAGTTGAGCCAGATCACGCCGCGTTGCGCTAAATGCATCCTACCAAACAATGGCAAATCGCGCTGAGACCATTCCACATCGTGGCACATCGTTACACATCGCGCCGAGACCACGCCGAGACCACGCCGAGACCGTGCCGAGACCGCGCCGAGACCGCGCCGAGACCGCGCCAAACCGTGCCGGGTGTCGTGCCGCCGTGCGACGGAGCAGAAGCCCCCAAGGTGCCAGGCCGGTGGGTGGACGGCGACTCCCTGACGCTGACCCGGCTGCGGGAGGAAGACACCGGCGTGTACCAGTGCCAGGCCTCCAACCGCCACGGCACCATCCTGGCCAACGCCTACGTCAACGTGCTGGGTGAGCAGGGGGTGCGGGGGAAGGACGACTGAGTCGCTGTGTGAGTCTGTGGGTCTCTGTGTGAGTTTATAGGTTGCTGTGTGAGTCTGTGGGTCGCTGTGTGAGTTTATAGGTTGCTGTGTGAGTCTGTGGGTCTGTGTCAGTCTGTGGGTCTGTGTCAGTCTGTGGGTCTCTGTGTGAGTCTATGAGTTTCTGTGTAAGTCTATGAGACTCTGTGAGATTGTGTGGTCTATCGGTCTGTGTGATTCTGTGGGTCTCTGTGTGAGTCTATGAGTCACTGTGTGAGTCTATGGGTCTCTGTGTCAGTCTGTGGGTCTCTGTGTGAGTCTATGAGTCACTGTGTGAGTCTATGGGTCTCTGTGTGAGTCTGTGGGTCTCTGTGTGAGTCTGTGGGTCTCTGTGTGAGTCTATGAGTCACTGTGTGAGTCTATGGGTCTCTGTGTGAGTCTGTGGGTCTCTGTGTGAGTCCACTTCCTGTATTTTGTGGAGGGATGACCGCTCAGTGTCTCCCACCGCTCTCCCTCCGCTCCTTCCGCTTGCTGATTCGCTCTCCTCATTCTCCAATCTCCTCTCTCTCTCTCGCTTCCCTCCTGAACTTTCCCTCGTCAACTCCTGCTACCACCACCCCCTCCTCCTTCACCTGGTGGCATCTCTGCTGTGGTCCCACAACATTCCTCTAACCCAGCAACCCTCCCCTCCCTCCCCTGCCTCCCCCTGCTCCCTTCTAAGTTGTCTTGTGGTTGTTGTTGTTGTTGTTTGACTTGCATCCCACTGGGATGTTTGCACACAGCGTTGGTGTACGGTGATTTTCTCTGCAATATGTTGCTGTCTTTTCTTGGATTTTCTGTTTGCACTCAGTCACATATTCACTTTAAGATGTTTTCTTGTTCATGTTTTTGTTTTGTGTTTGTTGCGGTTGCACCAGATTCAAGAGCCGAATGGCTCACAGGGCTCCACACCTACTACATGAACTTGAACTTCTCTGCCTGCCCCCCCCCCCTGCCTCTCCCTCAGCCGTGGCCCCACGGATGCTGTCGCCGCCGGACAGGCTGTACACGGCCACAGAGGGACAGGCCGCGCACTTGGACTGTGCCGTGTTTGGGTTGCCGCGTCCCAACATCCTGTGGTGAGAGCGACGCTGGCCCGGCTACTTTACTCTCTCCGTGAACTAAGCACTCTTTGTTGTTGCTGTTGTCGTTGTTGTTGTTGTTGTTTGAATGGGGTCCTGGTTGGAGGGGGAAGAGCGCCTAGCTTAAATATACGCTGCCAAGCCTGGCGGTGTTTCATTCAGACGCTGTCTCCCCGACAGACCTGTTCTTCACCTGAGGATGGCTGCTTGCGTTGTGGCCAAAACGTCGTGAGAATTCGATTTTATTGTGTTTTATTTTATCATTTTATTATTTCCCTTCTACGTGACTTTACCGAAAGAACCAAGAAGAAAAAATTAACCCGTGAAAACAAAGTTTTTCACTATAAATCCTTTATATGTGGGGCATCGGTTTTATTTTATTATTCATTTCTGTTTTTCTTGAGTAAGAGTTTCATTTTTATCACATTGGTATTTTAAATTAAATATAAGGAAAGTCGTATATAAGGATTATAAGGTTTTCAGTTTTTGTATGATTGTTTATATTGTACATTTTTGTTATTTTCTTGAATAATTTTCTGTGTTTAGGAAAAATATATGATTGTGTTAGTGAAATAGTTTTTTCCTAAAAAGTGGAAAATTTTGGAGAAAAAATGTTCACGAAAATACATTGTCACGCACAACGAGTCTGTGTGCAAAGTGTCAGCTCGATTGGATCACGGGAAGTGGGTTAAAAAACGACCGAAAGTTTTGCACGGTCGTAAGCGCACAAGCAAGCAAGTGAACTTAATATAAAGGATTTAAAAATAGTTTCGCCGCTTACTAGTCGTCAAGGCTCCCCCCCCCCTCTTTGCTTGCGCCGCGCACCGCCAGGTTCAAGGGCGACTACGCCGGACCCCTGGCGGGCGAGCGCCACCAAACCTTGGCCAACGGCACGCTGCTCATCTGGAGCGTGTCGCCTGGCGACTCGGGCACGTACACGTGCTTTGCTGTCAACAAGCTGCACCACGAGCAACTGCGGGCGCGCCTCGACGTACAAGGTCGGCAAGAGCATCGCCGGCCGGCCGGCTGCCCTCTCCGCTCCAGCACGCTCGTGCCCCCCCCCCCCCCCCCTTCTCTCACGCATCCCCCCCTAGTGGAGCTTCTTTGCCGCCTAGAAACACTCCGACTGGTTTGCCCATCGCTCGCTGCTCTCTCCCCCCCCTCCCCCCCCGTTGGTAACTGCCCCCTCCCTACAGTCGCCAGCGGCAGCAGCAGCAGCAGCAGCTCGGAGCCGGGAGCCGTGCCACTGGACGGCACAGGTCTCTGGGGCTCCACCACCACCACCGCCACCACCACCGCCACCACTGCCACCACCACTACCACTGCCACCACCACTACCACTGCCACCACCACCACCACCACTGCCACCACCATCACTGCCACTACCACCGCTGCCACCACCACTGTCGCCACCACCACCGTCGCCACCACCACCGCCGTCACCACCACCATAACAGTCGCCACAAGCGCCACCACAACCACTCGGCACCACTACTACGGCGTGAGGACACCGTCAGCACGCACGCCGCCAGCCAGCGGCGGAGGTGCCAACGCTGATGACGGTGAGTTCCTCTCCTCCCTCCCGCCACGATCGCAGTGACGCCAAAATGTTAACTACCTCGCCCGGTACACAGGAGTTTGCGGGTTCGATCCTGACCCTGGCGATGCCCGTACGTCTGTTGTTTGCGTGTCTCTCTCCGCGCGGTCGCGTCCATTTCCTGCGCAATTGAAAGCAACATTTGTGGGAAAAGTCACGAAGTTTTTCATTTATGGGAACAGCTTCAACGGAGCCAGTTGGATCGCTGTGCACAAGATGGCGGCGATGGCTTGTCACGTCCCCGGGGGGGTTCGTGTATCAGCCAGATCGGCGGCGGCCGCTGGTCACGGAAGACGCATCAATCCCACGGGGTCGGCAGTGACCTCGGTGCGGTGCCAGTGTTTTTATTGTCCATGAAGAGTCGTCGCTTGTGGCACGTGCGGCTACGACGCTCGCAGTCGCCGGACTTCTCTCTGCTCTCGTGACCGCCCCCCCCCCCCCCCCCAGGCCGCTCCTCGTCAGAAGAGGAGTCGCTCGCCACGACGACTAAGAGCCCCTTCGTCAGCGCCGCGATGGCCGTGGTGGCCGCGATGGTGCCGCTGACCGTCGTGGTGTGCGCCGCGTGCCGGGGCAGGAGGCGGCAGCAGACACAGCGGCGCCTGCGAACCCTCCGGTGAGCGGCGGTGGCACCGCGACGGTGAACCGCGCCTCGTGGCGGGACGGGTCGTGCCCGAGCCACGACGGGGTCCCGCTTATGGTAGTTCGAGCTGGCGATGGCGATGGCGAAATTGTGGAACGTTTTACGTTTCGCGCAAACAAAAAGAAACAAGTCTGATGATGATATGCACTGTCCTTGAAGTTGTTTCTTTCTGTTTGCATTTTGACTGCTTGTGTTGTGGTTATTGCAAACATGATGCCTTGTATCAAGGTGTCAGTTTTTCTACCAGTTGAAAGGGTAAAACCCATCACTATATTTTGCCACTGGTAAAGGAGAGGTCTCATAATGTAAATGCTTCACCCCGAGCTCTCAATACTCTGATAGTGCGCTGTTTTTGAGTTGTGCGCCTTTTGGCGTCATCTGGTCCAACACCAATGGAGACTAGGCTCTAAGAAAAGCTGTCACGAGTGTGGACCAATCAACTTCAAAGAATATGAACTTCAAGGGCAGTGCATATCATTATCATCATCAGAGTTGTTTCTTTTTGTTTGCATTTTGACTGCTTGTGTTGTGGTTATTGCAAACATGATGCCTTGTATCAAGGTGTCAGTTTTTGTACCAGTCGAAAGGGTAACCACCTACTACGTGTGTGTGTAGTTGCCGTGGTGCCGGTACCTGTGCTCAGCAGAGACGTTCTCTCCCATTCGCAGGATCTCAAGATCTGGGTAGGCGCACTGTCCTCATCCGTTCACTGGAAGTAACAACAACAACAACAACAGCAACAACAACAACAGCAACAACAACAGCAGCAGCAACAACAACAGCAACAACAACAACAGCAACAGCAACAACAACATCAACAACAACAGCAACAACAACAACAGCAACAGCAACAACAACAGCAACAACAACATCAACAACAACAGCAGCAACAGCAACAGCAACAACAACAGCAACAACAACAACAGCAACAGCAACAACAACATCAACAACAACAGCAACAACAACAGCAACAACAACAACAGCAACAGCAACAACAACATCAACAACAACAGCAACAACAACAACAACAGCAACAGCAACAGCAACAGCAACAGCAACATCAACAACAACAGCAGCAACAGCAACAGCAACAACAACAGCAACAACAACAACAGCAACAGCAACAGCAACAACAAGATCAACAACAACAGCAACAACAACAGCAACAACAACAGCAACAACAACAACAGCAACAGCAACAACAACAGCAACAACAACAACAGCAACAACAACAACAGCAACAACAACAACAACAACAACAACAACTGCAACAGCAACAACAACAACAACAACAGCAACAACAACAACAGCAACAACAACAACAACAACTGCAACAGCAACAACAACAACAACAGCAACAACAACAACAACAGCAACAGCAACAACAACTGCAACAAAAACAACAGCAACAACAACAACAGCAACAACAGCAACAACAACAACAACAGCAACAACAACAACTGCAACAGCAACAACAACAACTGCAACAGCAACAACTGCAACAGCAACAACAACAGCAACAACAACAGCAACAACAACAACAGCAACAACAGCAACAACAACAACAACAGCAACAGCAACAACAACAGCAACAACAACAACAGCAACAGCAACAGCAACAACAACAGCAACAGCCAAACGAGAAAACTCAACTCACGAACGCTTCCCGAAATATTGTCGTCCCCTCGGTGTGGAATTCTCTTCTTTTGCGCATCTGCAATGTCTGTGTGAGTCTAGCGGTCTGTGTGTGATGAGTCTGTGGGTCTGTGTGAGTCTAGCGGTCTCTGTGTGGTGAGTCTATGGGTCTGTGTGAGTCTAGCAGTCTGTGTGTGATGAGTCTGTGGGTCTGTGTTAGTCTAGCGGTCTGTGTGTGACGAGTCTGTGAGACCCATAGACTCACCACACAGAGACCCACAGATTCACCACACAGAGACCCACAGACTCACCACACAGAGACCCACAGACTCATCACACAGAGACCCACAGACTCACCACACAGAGACCCACAGACTCACCACACAGAGACCCACAGACTCATCACACAGAGACCCACAGACTCACCACACAGAGACCCACAGACTCACCACACAGAGACCCACAGACTCATCACACAGAGACCCACAGACTCACCACACAGATACCCACAGACTCATCACACAGAGACCCACAAACTCACCACACAGAGACCCATAGACTCACAACACAGAGACCCACAGACTCACCACACAGAGACCTACAGACTCACCACACTGACCCATAGACTCACCACACAGAGATCCACAGACTCACCACACAGAGACCCATAGACTCACCACACAGAGACCCACAGACTCACCACACAGAGACCCACAGACTCACACACAGAGACCCACAGACTCACCACACAGAGACCCATAGACTCACCACACAGAGACCCACAGACTCACCACACAGAGACCCACAGACTCACACACAGAGACCCACAGACTCACCACACAGAGACCCACAGACTCACCACACTGACCCATAGACTCACCACACAGAGACCCACAGACTCACCACACAGAGACCCACAGACTCACCACACAGAGACCCACAGACTCACCACACAGAGACCCACAGACTCACCACACAGAGACCCATAGACTCACCACACAGAGACCCACAGACTCACCACACAGAGACCCATAGACTCACCACACAGAGACCCACAGACTCACACACAGAGACCCACAGACTCACCACACAGAGACCCATAGACTCACCACACAGAGACCCACAGACTCACCACACAGAGACCCACAGACTCACACACAGAGACCCACAGACTCACCACACAGAGACCCACAGACTCACCACACTGACCCATAGACTCACCACACAGAGACCCACAGACTCACCACACAGAGACCCACAGACTCACCACACAGAGACCCACAGACTCACCACACAGAGACCCACAGACTCACCACACAGAGACCCATAGACTCACCACACAGAGACCCACAGACTCACCACACAGAGACCCATAGACTCACCACACAGAGACCCACAGACTCACACACAGAGACCCACAGACTCACCACACAGAGACCCATAGACTCACCACACAGAGACCCACAGACTCACCACACAGAGACCCACAGACTCACACACAGAGACCCACAGACTCACCACACAGAGACCCACAGACTCACCACACTGACCCATAGACTCACCACACAGAGACCCACAGACTCACCACACAGAGACCCACAGACTCACCACACAGAGACCCACAGACTCACCACACAGAGACCCACAGACTCACCACACAGAGACCCATAGACTCACCACACAGAGACCCACAGACTCACCACACAGAGACCCACAGACTCACCACACAGAGACCCACAGACTCACCACACTGACCCATACAGGTGTAATAAGTGTCTCCGACACGCTAAGAACTCAAGTCGTTTATTAATAAACCTTTGGCATAGCTGGTTGTCTCTTGTGTCTCTCTCTCACTGCGGAGTGATGATGATCGCTGCCCCACACCAGGGACTACTTTTAGGCCGAGTTGACCTTGGGGAGGCCCACGACCGGTTCAGATAATCGTCAACTGTTTTTGGCCGTAAAATAAAAAATGAAAATAAAAAATAATATAAATAATATAAATAAAATAATAAATCACGACGTTTCGAAGGCAACACAAGCTTCCTTCGTCGGGTGTAAAAAGGCAGCAAAGTAACTGTACGTCGTGATTAATAATGTTATTTATTAATAATAATTTAATATATTTATTATTATTTTTCTCTACAGTAGTCTATGGGTTCTTTCGGTTAAGTCACGTCTAAAGATAAAATAAGCAATAAAATAATTTAGTATTTAATAAATTAAATAATTTATTAATTTATCTTCAGACGTGACTTAACCGAAAGATAAAATAATGAAATAAATTTTTTAACAATTATTTATTATTTTACCTTTAGGCGTGACTTAACCGAAAGATTAAGTAATAAAATAAATATTGTATTATTTTATTAATTAAAACATTTATTATTTTATCTTTAGACGTGACTTAACCGAAAGATAAAATAATAAAATTAATAAATCATTATTTTATAAATTAAATAACTTATTATTTTATCTTTAGACGTGACTTAACCGAAAGAACCAAAGAATATTTCCTGCAGTCACGAAAGCTCCAAAATTAAGATTAGTCTATGGGTCTCTGTGACCCCCCCCCCCGTGCGGATCGTGAATCGAGGTCAGAATCGACCGACGGCTTGCAATCGAAGTCGATTCTAACGTTATCGCATGGAGGAATCGATTGCTCTCGATCCATGGATCGATCCGACGCCATCACCGAGAACCAAATCGCAATGGAGGGAGACGCCATCAGCTCCCAGCGAGTCGCGAAGTTGCCACCACCACCTCCTCCACCTCCACCTCCACCACCTCCTCCACCTCCACCACCTCCTCCACCTCAATTGCCTCGCGACATCAACGACCCTCCCACAGCAGCAGCGGCAGCGGAATCAGCAACAACGACGTCAATTCCCGCCACTGAGGCCTACACCGCCATGCAGCCTGCGGCCTCTGCCCAAGCCGCGTCGCATTCTGCGGGGGAGATTCAGGCGAGGGTCGGTGGCGGCGAGGAGGAGGAGGAGGAAGATGATGAAGCGATGGAGCTGCTGACCGTCATGACCGTCGATCTAATCACCGGCTACGTAGCTCACCTGACGCAACAGCCGGAGCAGCGGCGGCAGCTCCACAAGCAGGAGCAGCAGCAGCAGGAGCAGCAGCAGCAGCCTGTGCATCAGCGACTGCAGCAGCAGCAGCAGCGGCAGCTTCAGGAGGTGCAGGAGCAGCTCCCGGAGTTGCAGCGACATCTCGAGCTGGCGCAGCAGCAGCAGCGGCAGCGGGCGGAGACGCTCTGGCAGCAGCAGCTCCAGCACATGCAGCAGGTGCAGCAGCAGCTCCAGCAGGTGCAGCGGCAACAGGAGCTTGTGCAGCAGGTGCAGGAGCAGATGCAGAAGGTGCAGCGGCAACAGGAGCTTGTGCAGCAGGTGCAGGAGCAGATGCAGAAGGTGCAGCGGCAACAGGAGCTTGTGCAACAGCTGCAGGAGCAGGAGCTTGTGCAGCAGCAACAGAAGCTTGTGCAGCAGCTGCAGCAGCAGGAGCTTGTGCAGCAGCAGGAGCAGCAGCAGCAGGAGCAGCTGCAGCAGGTGCTGCAGCTGCTACAGGAAGTGCAGGAGCAGCAGGAGCAGCAGCTGACGCATCGGTTCGAGCAGCTGCAGCTAATGCAACAGGAGCATCTGGAGCAGTCGCAGCAGTTCGAGGACCTTCAGGAGCTGCGGCGGCAAGTGCGGCAACTCCAGCGGCAGGTGCGGGAGGCCGGGGCGCAGCTGCAGACCTCCCAGCGGCTGCTGCGGCTGCGTGCGGAGCGGCTGCAGGAGGCGTTCGACACCCGAGGAGACGTCTTGCTGGCAGAGTTCGAAGCCTCCATCCCGGACTTTGTGAGCGGCGCGGAGCGGCTGGCAAAGCGAGTGGAGCCGCGCCGGCTGGTCGTGACCATGGCCTGGAAGGTTCTCAACGGAGCGCCCCTGAGCTGGGACGGCGTCCTGTCCGCGGTGGTGTACTGCGCGCTGCTCGTCAAGAGCCTCGGGGCCTGCGGGCGGCTGGGAGACTCGGAGAAGACGCGGCCCCTGACGGACCTGGTGGCCGCTGTGCTGCTGGTCGAACGCAGAAGCTGGCTCATGGAGCACGGAGGCTGGGTGAGGGGTTACACACCACCAACACCGCCACCACCAACACCACCGCCACCACCACCACCAACACCACCACCAACACCACTACCGTCGCCAACACCAACACCACCACCAACACCACTACCACCACCACCACCAACACCACTACCGTCGCCACCATCAACACCACCGCCACCACCAACACCACCACCAACACCACCACCAACACCAACACCACTACCGTCGCCACCACCAACACCACCACCAACACCACTACCGTCGCCACCATCAACACCACCACCAACACCACCACCACCACCAACACCACTACCGTCGCCACCACCACCAACACCACTACCACCACCAACACCACCACCAACACCACTACCACCACCAACACCACCACCAACACCACTACCACCACCAACACCACCGCCACCACCAACACCACCACCAACACCACTACCGTCGCCACCACCAACACCACCACTAACACCACTACCGTCGCCACCACCAACACCACCACTAACACCAACACCACCACCGTCGCCACCGCCACCACTAACACCACTAGCCAGCCACTCACAGGGGGTGTCTTCTTCCCATATTTGAGGCACCTCAGCCTCAGCAGGGTTATCCCCACTTTGTGCCATGATGTTTTCCAGGCTGAGGGATTTCCCCTCCCCCAGGTCCTCACAGAAATGCTCAGCAAATCTGCAAACCTGTTCCTGGGGGTCGTAGATTGAATCTCCGTTCTTTCCCCTAAGGATGGTAATAGGTGTGGCGCTGCAGGTTACTTTTTTGATGGAATTAAAGAGCGATTTGTGATCGTGGGCCATTGAGGCAGACTCCATCTCCTCAGCAACACACGACCACCAACCATCCTTGCAGCGCCTCACGGCTCTCCGAACCTCCGAGCGAAGGCTGCGCTAAGCCTCATTCTCTGACAGTGGGATGCTGTAGAGTCTACAGCATCCCACTGTCAGAGAATGAGGCTACAGTCTACAGTGTAGACGATGAGAGTGGGCCTGTCGCTTTTTCTCAACCAGCATGAACACCACCTCTGTCAGCCAGGGTCTCTGGGGAGGTCTGGATGGTGTACCCAAAGCAGCCATTGCAGCTGCATGAGCCACAGTCCTAAACCTTGCTCATTTTCCCTCGACATCAGGAGTGGGGGATGATGCAAACCCCAGCCGCAATCGATGATGCAATTCTCGCTTACAACTTTCATCAGCGAGCTGAGACCAGGCCACTATGGGTTTGAATGGGGTCCTGGGTGTACACCCACCACCGGAGTGGGAGAATGGCAGACACATCTTACAGATGACAGATGGGCAGTGTCTCACCACCCAGTGTCTCACTACCCAGTGTCTCACCACCCAGTGTCTCACCACCCAGTGTCTCTCTACCCAGTGTCTCACTACCCAATGTCTCACTACCCAGTGTCTCACTACCCAGTGTCTCTCTACCCAGTGTCTCTCTACCCAGTGTCTCACTACCCAGTGTCTCTCTACCCAGTGTCTCACCACCCAGTGTCTCTCTACCCAGTGTCTCACTACCCAGTGTCTCACCACCCAGTGTCTCACCACCCAGTGTCTCACCACCCAGTGTCTCTCTACCCAGTGTCTCACTACCCAGTGTCTCACTACCCAGTGTCT